TTTCAAGTAAACGAAAAACATGGTTTCCACAGTCAGATTAAAGGATTACGAGTAATCTGGTTGATGTAGCTAGATGGGGAATCTATCACTGATGTTAAGGGTGGGCGATGTGGAAAAAATATTATATGATTTTTTTTCTTGTCTAAAAATATATGCCCTTTCGACATAACACCACACCAAATTCCACTCTCAAACACTTTAAAGTTTGTTTAAAATGTCCTTCGATATTCACCAGTTACCTTTCCAAAGATTTCTCAATATCCACATGAACCGCTCTTCCCATTTCTGTATATTGCTTTTGCACAATGCTAACGATCCCTCTGTAAAGGCAGATCCTAGAGACATTTTAATCGTTTACGATATAGTATTGTCATATCGCACACCACTAACTGACGTTGCTTACATTCTTACTGCAATAGTCCGTGTCCCATATATTACACTGAGAATAACTACAACTAGTGACACCTAAGTATACGTTCATCTAACCACTATGGTTAGTTAGGTTATATTTGTTTCTATATACCATGATGTAGGTTTTTTTTAAATAATATTTCAAACTGGAAACAGGGTGGAAAGCTTCAGACAGTAGAGTTCTACAAACAGCACATGACCAGATCTGCTCTTCTTACTGATTAGCACCTTTCACCAGAGACTGATACTGAGTGAAATTAGCTGCTGTAGTGATTGGCTGGAATTAAAACCATGAACCTCTTGGGTACAGGCTTGAAACCCAATGATTAAAAGCATTTGCGAACAGAACAAAAAAAGTCTCCACTCAAACTAATGAATTTCTTTCGGCTTGGTTTTCAGCTCCTCGAGGTAGATAATAATCGCTGCAAAGGGAGTTCATAGATTCAGTCAAATACCTCTCAAATATAGAAAAACTGAATCTGGTGTATTGCTAAGTATGGTTGTCACGTACAAGAAATTTGCTTAGGCGTATTGGTACATAACATAAACATAGTGTCATTACAAAAATCAAGAAACATAAATAATGAAAAATGAAAAAAGAGTCCATGTCAGTGGGGGTCCCGGGCTTCATTTATGAAGCCAGTTGCGGATGGCAAGAAAGTGTTTTTGTGGGGTTTTGGTCCTGATGGACCACAGCATCCTGCCAGAGAGGACTGATTAAAAACCTTTGTGTGCAGTGTGGGGGTGGTCTGCCACTATCTTCAGGGTTCTGGAGGGTCTGCAGATTGCAGCCAGTCACCTTCTCAGTGGCGCGAATGATATGAATACTGGTGATGGAGGAGGTAATGATGGACTAGATGATGGCCGTTGCTATTTACAACATTGGCATTAATTTGGAATTATGTTCACCTGAAGAATGTAAGTCCAATATCTATCTGTTTTGGTCTCCCCACCTCCTAACAGATGTATCTATCTCTTAAGGTGCTAAATGCTCCACTATGTTCACCAGCCACTAGCTGGTGAACAATGTATAACATTGAAGTTACAACGAGACGCTCTAAAACACTGAAGCCGAATGGAACTGTGAGTCTGTGATAATTCTCTATGAATTCATCAGTGCGAGAGGCCCCTTTCAAGTTATATGTAGCCATTTGGCCCACAATGTTAAATATGTATTGGTGCAGCTTGAATATCTGGTTAGAAGCTTTACAAAGTTGTCAAAAACGTTTGTGTTATCATATTATCCTGCCCAGTAATTTAAATCTAAATCTCTGTAACACGTCTCCTGGTTACTGCATCAAATATGGTCTTATCAGTAAAATTGGGAATCAACTATAATTGAATCTTTGTACTGAAAGTTCAACAGCTGAAATTAAATACCCCCATGCCACGTCCATTCCCCAAATGATTGGATTAAGGTCTGACTCCATCAGGCGTGCGTTCACCGCTACAGACCAAAGGCACAGATGGTCTCGCCGTCCGATTAGCTGGCCGTCAGTCTCTCTGGCTTCATCTCCACAGCACCTCCTCTTCTATCACTTCCTCGGGTCTGAGCAGGTGTTTGGCCCGCAGTTAGAGTCCAAATCAGATCCATTTCATCTGTAATCAGCGGGAGCCCCTGGCACTGATGGAAGAGATCAGAGCGCCGATCAAAGAATTATAAGCCGACCACGCCTGACCGGCCAACCATGCCATGACACGGACAAGGCGAGCTGTGGGGGGGGGGTGATGTGGCCGAGCGAGCAAGAGCTACAGCAGGGATGAAAGGAGTGAAGATGGAGATTTGAAGATTTGAAGGCCTGCAGAATCTCCCAGGGGGGGAGACATGAAAGAGCAGGGCTGTGGGGGGAGGTGGCAGCGAGGGAGGCAAAGATGTTGCACTTCACACTCTCATGGGAGGACATTATTTTATTTTTTGACATTTCCATCAAGTGGAAATAGATTGTTTAAAGTCAAATGCGGTGCTCCGTTCCGCTTCAGTTTGAGGTAATTAGGATGGGAGGTGAATTCCAATCACCATCTGAAAGGAAAGTCAATGACATTAACTTGATGCAGTTGAATTGCTAGATGCCCCGCTGCTGGTTAGCAAATCATTAATTGTGTGCAAATATGGGAAATCATGTGCTCAGGTGCATGAAATTTGATGGGTGGCTCGCATATTGATGGTAGCAGTTTTAAAGGGGTATTCCAAACACTTTTTTTAGAAGATGATAACACCGCGTTGGATGTTTCAGAAGGACTCTGCTGCTTGCACAGTCACGTACTCTTTCAAATTAGTTCTTACACACATTCACACACTGCAGCATGCAGCTGATCAAGCAGTCTTTCATCTGTGCCAGCACTTCACCCACACACGCAGCCATAAACACACAGCTCTTTAATGTGAGTCGGTCAACATAAAGATGCAACACTCGTTTTTTTCCCACCTATATTCTCAGCTATGCTAGTTAATGCTATCACTTGCAGGCTCACTCGTGCTTGCTATTGCTTTAAACCTTGCCTTCAAACACACACTCCACCTGCTTTAAATGTCCACGCGTATCTTTGTACAAAGACTCTCAGATGCTGAGTATGTGGGTGTGTGTTTCACTGTCAATGGAGTGTCCCTGTTTGCTCCATTAACTGATCACTCTGAATAAAAGCTCTGTTGTCTTCATCGTTCTTGTCACTGTATGGGGAAAAGCTTCTCAGTAATGCGGAACCTTCTTACAGCCCTGTTGCACGCATGGCTCAGCAAGACTGTGAATAAGTGCGAAGAAATAGCACAAAAGAATTAAAGTCCTTGATGACGTCCCTCACTTCATATCCCACAAGTCATCAGTTTACCAGGGAGCGCTGTAACATGATATTTATTTCATTCCAGTTTCACAGCCATTTTGCTCTGGACTTGAACCGGGAACTCTGAAATCTCCTCTTTGATATGTTGCCCAAGCCGAGCCATTGTATATTTTTACATTCATATTTCAGGCGTTATTTAGCTAGAGCTGCTGAGAGACTTAAACCGTGTGAGTTTAGATTCAAATCACCAAAATAGGTTTTTTGAGGGCTGATCTCTCATCTCTGATCAAAATGTTTCAGCTGTATAAAATCATATAAATTGGTGAAATTATCATATGATACATCTGCTTCCAAGGCTGTCTGGTGGGTTCACAGACTCTCAGATAACATCTGAACCACCAGAATATTAGCTGAACTCGGGTTACAAATTATCATTTGGCAGTGAATCCTTCTGTGTGGAAAGATATCATGTTGTTGCACAACTGATCTTGAGCTCTCTCTGAAAGTAAAGTTCAAAAAGCTGAACCGTGGCAACGATTAAACTGTTCCTCCTATAGGACCCCATTTGTCTTTTGAAGTGACATCCTCTGGATGTGTGATCCCTCCCTGGTCAAAGGTCGTAATAACACCATCACGCTATTAAAGTTATTCTTTTCTATTGTTTAGTCGTACAAGTCAAAAACACATGTTGGTGCAACGTCATTTGATTGAAACAAGTTGATTTGTACGTGTTTCTCACTTATACAAGCAAACTTTGACATAATGATGGCGTTAGATTAAAAGTCAGGGGATCGCCAAAATAGTAAAAAAAAAACCTGAATGTTTTTGTACCAAAAATCAATGAATAATTGTGATTAAGAGTGGTGATCTCAATACATGAATGTTTCAGGACATTCTGTTCTATAGTTGATGAGACATGTTACAAGTAATTACTGCTATTCATTCTCCATTCTAGAGAGCTATAAGCCTTGGTTTTAATAATAGTTAATACTGAGTTTCATTGTCCCATGATGCTCTCTTTAATATTTCAGAGGCTTTCAGCACTATACAGTTAGTTTGTTGGGATCCTTTTTTTAAATTTTCAACTGAATGAATGTTGAAAAACGGATATTGGCAGCCTCAGAAATTCGTACGTGTCCAACCATTCATGCACCAGTGCTGCTCCAACCTCCCGCTATGATTCATAGTCTAGCGCGGCATAAAAGTCCTGGAGCCGCTCTCATCCCACCGTCCACAAGGTGTGAAATCGTTTGATCCAGTTTTGTTCTGTTTAGGTGAAACAGCTCCGGTGTGTGTGTGTATGAGAGAGTTTGCACTTGTGCGTATTTGTGTGTGTTTTCAAATGCTCCCGGAGCAATAAAAGGTGGAGGGAAATGGGAGGGGACGGGGTTGCAGGAAGGAAGGAAGGAAGGAAGGAAGAGAGCTGCCGGTAGCTGCTGTGTTTGTTTTGCAAGGAAGCGAGAGAGGAGATGATGGGTGGGATCAGTCCTTTTGTCCGTCCTCCTGTGAGGGAGTGGTTGTCTTTGTGTGTGTGTGTGTGCGTGTAGGGGCATTTACGGGTTAATGGTCATTAAGTCTGTTCCAGTGTGAAAGTCGAGGTGGAGGGCGGTTGGTGATGCGCCCTGGCTTTCTAACCCACAAAAGGGTCAAAGGTCGGGGTTACAAGTCAAACAATGCCTGGAAGGACTAGCAATCAGCTGGGACTGCAACAGAGGTCAGGTTGTGTGTGTGTGTGTGTGTGTGTGTGTGTGTGTGTGTGTGTGTGTG